ATGAAAATGGATCCATATCTATCGCCATGCATAAAACTCAAGTCCAAATGGATCAAAGACCTCAACATGAAGCCAGCCACACTGAACCTTATAGAAGAGAAAGTGGGAAGTACACTTGAATGCATTGGCACAGGAGATCACTTCCTAAATATAACCCCAGTATCACAGACACTGAGAGAAACAATTAATAAATGGACCTCCTGAAACTGAAAATCTATAAAGCAAAGGACACGGTCGATAAGACAAAGTGAGAGCCTACAGAATGGGAAAAGATCTTCACTAACCCCACATCGGACAGAGGGCTGATCTCCAAATATACAAAGAACTCAAGAAATTAGTCATCAAAAGAACAAATAATCCAATAAAAAATGGATTACAGACCTAAACAGAGAACTCTCTCAACAGAGGAATCTAAAATGGCTGAAAGACACTTAAGGAAATGCTCAACATCCTTAGTCATCAGAGAAATGCAAATCAAAACAACTCTAAGATTCCATATTATATCTGTCAGAATGGCCAAGATCAAAAACACTAATGGCAAAGAGGATATGGAAAGGGAACACTCCTCCATTGCTGGTGGGAATGCAAGCTGGTACAGCTGCTTTGGAAATTGGTATGGCAATTTCTCAGAAAATTAGCAAACAACCTTCCTTAAGACCGAGCAATACCACTTTTGAGTATATACCCAAAGAATGCTCAATCATACCATAAGGACATGTGCTCAACTATGTTCACAGCAGCATTATTTGTAATAGTCAGAACCTGGAAACAACCTAAATGCCCCTTGACTGGACCGAAGAATGGATAAAGAAGATGTGGTACATTTACACAATGGAATACTACCCAGCAGAAAAAAACAATAACATCTTGAAATTTGTGGGCAAATTTGGATGGATCTAGAAAACATCATATTGAATGAGGTTACTCAGACCCAGAAATACAGATATCATATGTACTCACTCAAAAGTAGCTTTTAGACATAAAGCAAAGAAAAATCATCCTACATTTCACAATTCCAGAGAACCTAGATAACAAAGAGGACCCTAAGAGAGACATACATGGATCTAATCTACATGGGAAGAAGAAAAAGACAAGCTCTCCTGAGTAAATTTGGAGCGTGGGGATCATGGGAGAGGGCAGCTGGGGAGGGGGTAGGAAGGGAGGGAAGCAGAGAAATAATATAGCTCAATAAAAACAATAAAAAAGTACATTCTTTCTCATACAATATATTCTGATTATAGTATCCCCTTCCTCTACTCCTCCTAGTTACTCTCCTCCTCCTCTCCACTCTGGAACTACTCTCTTTCTGTCTCTCATTAGAAAAAAAGGGTTTCTAGGAGATAATAACCAAATAAGATAATGACAAATAAGATTAAGCAAATATTCATATTGAAGTTGGACACAGCAACCCCACAGGAGGAGAAGAGTCCCAAGAGCATGCAAATGTTTCAGAGATCCACTTGTTCTCACAGTCAGGAGTACCATAAAGCATTAAACTAATATATATAATATATACAGGACCCATAAAGGCCTTCTGGTTGCCTCTTCAGTCTCTATGGGTGCATATGTGCCTTGATTAGTTGATTTAGAGAGCCCTGTTTTCCTGATGTCCCCCATTCCCTCTTCCTCTTAGATTGTTTCTGTCTCCACTTCTCTGGGGTTTCCTGAGCTCTGAGGGGAGGGATTTGATGGAGACCTTAAATTTAGACTCTCTTTTCGCATAATGTCTATCTAGTTGTGGGTCTCTGCATCTTTTTTCATTTGGGGTTTAAGCTTTCTTGATTTTGTCCTCATTCATTATTTTTCAGTCCTAGGACAAAATATCATTTGATGATACATAATACATACCTGTCTAGAATATTCTCTTTATGCAGTTTTAACCAAAATATAATTTCATATTTGCATCATTTACAATAATTTTCTTTCTCTCTTCTTGCTGTTTCTTGTTTCATTTCGTTAAACAAGAGTTGAATCCAAATTACATAGATGGCACATTGTAGAAAATTAATATTTTACAGAGCCTTAAAAAATATTCCACTTGCCAGAGCAGTGATGCACGTCTTTAATCCCAGAACTGGGAAGGCAGAGGCAGGTAGATCTCTGTGAGTTTGAGGCCAGTCTGGTCTATGTAGGGACTTCCAAAGCAGCCAGGGCTATGTAGAGAGACTCTATCTCAAGGATGGAAGAGGAGGAGGGAAAAGAGGAAGAGGAGCAGGAGGAATCAAGCCTCCTCCCTTTTTCTGTTGTAAGTCTTAGGCAACTTTTCTTTCAACGTGGATTTTTCTATTTTCCCCTTTTGGTCGAATATAGTCTGAGAGTTAGAGAAGCTTTTCTGTATTGTAAGAGCCGTTGGAGACATCAATGAACTTGAGAAGTGAGGAACTCGCTTGTAAATAGGAAAAGGCAAACAGAAAAGAAATTATATAAAGGACCAGAAATTCTTATGTTAATCCTGTAATTGCAGTTTTAGATGATAGAAGATATTTATTACTTTTGTTCAAGCTATAATAGAGAGGAGGGCACTCAAAACCCTTGAAGAGAAGAAGGGAAGTCAAGAACTCTTGTCCTTATAAATCAGGTGCCATTGGGAGCTCTGGATAGAATTACGGATGGAAGTGGAGGAAAAAGAATTTGTTTTTTTTTTGCTAATTCTGGGGTTCTGTTCTCTTCTTTATTCTAGCTAGAACAAGGGGAATACACATCTTCTGCCATCTAAAGCACTGTTTTGCACCTCTTTGTTCTTATCTAAAGTGTTGGGAAGAGACGACAGAACACACAAAGGTGGGGCAGGATGTGTCCTCTACTCTCTAGAGACCTAGGTGTTCTTTTATCAAATACAGAAATTCCTTGAATTCCCTTACATTGTAAGAAATAACGATCCTCCCTCTTAATGAGCTTATGGGAGACTAAGAATAGAAAAATGAAGCACTTTAGTTTTTGACCTTGCAAAGTCAGTCAAAGATGGCTAGTGCACCAATTTGGTGTAAAAAACCAGTTTTTCTAGTCCCAGTAACATTTCCCTGCCCGCCGAAGTCCTTACTGGCTGAGCTCCTCAGGGAGGTCCAGTCTTTCTGCTGTTTAATTTCATTCTCATCCCAATTCCCCATCCTATGGGTTCAAGATACAAAACCTTATCTAATTTATATCCTGAGGCTTTAGATTCCATGATTTTCTTTCTCTACGCTTAGAAGACTTATTTTTATTTTGTGTATATGAGTGTTTGTCTACATATACGAATGTTCACTATGTGTGTATCCAGCACTCTCAAAGGCCAGGAGAGGGCATTGGGTCCCCTGGAACTGGAGTAAGAGAGTTGTGGGTCACTATGTGGGTGTTGGCAACTGAACTGGAAATCTTTGCATGAGTAGCAAGTGCTGTTAACTACTGACCCAACTCTCCCATCCAGATTCCCTCATCTTCTGATGTATAGGCTGGGTCATCTCACAGACTGCCTGTAACTTTTCAACCTAAGGATGAACTGAGAACACCTAGAAAAGCAGGCAGCAGCTGCCATCTAAGATAGACAGGGACCTAGTGCCACCTGCTATTCTGATTCTCTGGAGAGCTCTAAACACACCTCTTATTGAAAATGGATCATTAGGATTTGATTCATACACGGTAATCGTTGGTCCTGTTGAGATAAATATGCTTCCAATCAAAACAGGTTCTTAAAATGAGTGAAGTAGTTGCTTTCTGCACAGTTTCAGAAATTTTCCTATGAGGAACTTGTACCTATACAGCCTCTAGGAAAACAAAAATCCCCTTGAGAGAGGAGGCCTCTTTGCCTTCAGTAGTGAATACTTTCCAAAGAGAAGAGTTAGTTAAAAAGAGCTGAACAGAAGAAAGACAAATATACTGTGTTTATTTTTTGTCTTTTTCACCCCAGTACATCCCTCAAGGTGTCTGGAAGTGTGTAGTTACTCTATTATGAAGTTTCAAAGCACACAGGAGACTAGACTGGGAATAACACTTGTGGAGGAGAAACAGGAGGGAACCAAAGGGGGAGAGACATGAACAGCGAACTAAGGAAGAATTCAATTTGTTCCCCATGCTTTAGCCACCATGTATTAACGAGCTAATGATCTAAAGGTGTTTTTTTTTTTTTGCCTTTTTCTAATTTCATGAGGGTACAGGGAAATAGAGCAAGGAAAGATGTAGGTAAGGAGTTTCCAATATAGTGTGCTTATTTGGGCTTTTATTCTTGTGCACGCCCAGCAAAACAATATATTAGAAGGCAAGCAAGGAGTTTTCATGCTCCTTTGGAAAACACAAACCAAGTTCCACACTACCAGTCACACACTATTGCTGTTCTTAGTATTGAGGTATTTTGACTGAGAACGCCACTGTGTCCAAGCTTGAAAGGCGACTCCCAGCTGTGTGTTCTCTGGTACTTTAGCCTAGTTCAGCAGCTTCACAAACTTTATTGTGGATGCTTTAACCTAGGACTCTTGCTGTATATTTTGACTTTTGATTGACTAGGTCTGAGGAGAAACCTGCGGCGCTGCGTTTTTACCACGCTCCCAGGAGCTGCTGGTGCTGACCCCAGGCAAAGTCTCGGAGTACACAAGGGACTGGAAGTCATCACCTCTGCTGCCAGGTGTGCTGACGGCCAGCCTCAGCATTCCTGATCCGTGTCCTGCACGTCCCAGGCTTTCTGCAGGGAGGGGAGGAGCCGAGGGCGGAGCGGGAGGAGTGGCGCGGGCCCCGCGTGGGTCCTGCCTGAGGAGATCACCTCGGCCCCTTGGAGAGCCGAGGAGCTGAGGCGGCGCAGGAGGGGTCGGCTCGGCGAGGGCGCGGCCTCCGGGAGTGGGGACGAGCGACAAGCATTCCCCGTGCTCTCTCGGGCCACTCGGGAGCCGCGCAGCAGCCCGTTGCCCCACTTGGCCACCCGCTCCGTGATCCCTCCTTGCGTCCACCTCTTCTTGTCACCTCCCGTCTCACCCTCCTCCCTCCATCCCCCCCCCCCCCCCTACCGCATCTACAGCCATCCGATCATCTCAGAGAGCAGGAGGTGCTGTGCCGGGCTGCAGGGCGCTCCCTCCAAAGGTCCCCAGCTCGACATTGGGGGGCCACAGGCGACAGCATGGACACCAAGCGCTGTTTCGCCAACCGCTTCGATGACTACCAGGGCAGCCTGCTGGCTGGCCAGTGCGAGGAGGCTGTGGCGCCCTTGGTCACCTCCACCATCGAACGCATCCTCCAGGAGCTGCCCCCGCTGGGGGGCGGCGCTGAGGCTCGAGGGGCGACACCGGCGGGCAGCAGCTTCCAGGGGGGTCTGTACAGTGGCGTGGCCGGGGTGGCCTACATGCTCTACCACGTCTCGCAAAGCCCGCTTTTCGCCGGGGCCCGCGAGCGCTACCTGCGCTCTGCCAAGCGCCTCATCGACGCGTGCTCCCGCTCCGAAGAGTGGGGCGAGCCGGACGCCAACACCCGCGCTGCCTTCCTGCTCGGGGGCGCGGGCGTGCACGCGGTGGCCACGCTCGTGTACCACGCCCTGGGCCGTTCCGACTACGTGCAGCCCCTCGGGAAGTTCCGGGCTCTGTGCGCCGTCTGTGCACTGGTCTCCTTCCTGGAGTGCGGCTCCGACGAGCTGTTCGTGGGCCGCGCTGGTACTCAAGCAGAAACTCGCCCAGGAGGTAAGACGCTGGCTGCCCCGGCCGCCGGAGGGCGCTCGCCCGGCTGCCCGCGCCCTGCGGGGGGTCTGGCTTTCTGGGACTCCCCGACGCCAGGAGCACCACCCCTGTTTGTGCATCCCCCATCTCTTCTTCGTTACTTCTTTGTCTGGAGCTGTGCTTTCTTCAGTCCCTTCTGCTTTTGTCCGTCCTTTCCCCCTTTCTTTGTCCCCACAATCGTTCTCTGGATTACTTGGCTTTTTGCTTTGTTCCCCTTTGTGCAGTGAACTTGGTTGCATCACTTCAGATGCCTCTTTGCCCCATAGCTTTTTTGGGGGGCTGACCTTGTGGCCCTTAAAAGCGAGTGTTTAAAAATGGGGGGAAAGTTATTTTCTTTCTTTTGACTGTACTAGCAAAAGCACCCTTAAATGTTAGGAGTCTAAAAAAGTAACAGGACTTTAGGACTGATGTGCAAGAAAGTTGCTTCTGGTCTCCTGGGCCTGTGACCAAGCTGCTCAGGCGTAGGTCTGATGTGTGCACTGTGCTATTTACTATTAAATTCATCCTAGGACTCTTAATAAATGTGTATCTGATGAGAGTATAGTCTTTTTAAATAGCTAAGTGTAGACAGAAATATGGTCACTTTGATCAAAAGCGTGTTTTTTTCCCTTCCATTTTAAAATCAGTAGTTAGGTTGACCAAAGCCACAGCATTTGTGACCAGGAAGCTTTTCTTAATAAACAGTTTTTCAGGGACTCCTTGAAAGCAATTCCGTTTCACAACTATATATGCAGGCATTTTTTTTCTTAAATTGCCTTTGAATATAGCATGTATATGTTAGCAGAAAATGTGCCAGTTCCTGTGGAGTTGTGGGAATTAAACAAAAAAACCTATAAAGCCTCATAGTAATTAGAAATGAAAGGGAGGCACATTCATTCATAATTCACTGTAACAATGTTCTGTTCTAGGGAGAAAGCAGCACATTTAACTTGGCTAGATATGGTGAGAAAGGCATTTGGAGAAAAAATAAAGGACTATGGCGTGACTTAAAAGTATAATAAGCTTAGAAAACCAGTAAGCAAGCAGACTTCTTTTTTAAAAAAATTTACATCAGATGAGATTGATTCAAGTGAAGAGGAAAAATGCTGAAGGATGCACCAAGCTAGCAGGGCAGCCAAGGGCCATGTGATAAAGTTGTCTTGAAATAGTTTGCTCTGCTTCTGAGTCATTGTTATCTGCTAGCTGTTTCCCAAAGGCCCTTCCAGTTGTAGAAAACCATTTAGAAGGCCACAGAGAGATTTACATATCATTTGCATTACATTTGCATCTGCTTCCCCAACCCTGCAGTCTGATGGTAGGCAATTTTTTAAAAATCCCCCAGTTGTTTTCCTTAAGCCTGTTTATTCTTTTGCCCATGCCTTCAAGTCTTTTTTTCCATAATAGAATGGCAGAGTGGAAAATCAACCAAAAGACTAGGAGGGCTGTGCACAGAAACTGGTGTTCCAAAACCAGTTGAAAGCCCTGCCCCACAAAAGCATTTAAGACCTTTCTTCTACCCTCCTGCCAAATCGGATCTGTCTTTTTGTGCTAATCAAATTGAGGTTCTCTGTCTGTCCCTGGGAGAAGGAACAAGAGAACCAGCTCTGAAGATTTTGAAAGAACAGCTTTTAATTTGTTAGATCAGTTGCCTCCATTTCAGCAATCCAAGAATTTGAGGCTCTGAATGTGTAGGGCAGAGACTGGCGCGCCTTCCCCTCCCTAACTCCTTGCCAGCAGACAGCTTTTCTCTCAGTAGATGATCCGTGAACCTTGATTAAATTGAATTTCTAACTTGTGTCATTTTTCTATAAATAATCTGCCATTGTGTCCCAGTATCTTTTTTTCATTCAATGTCATTTACATTCACCTTCCTCTGCCATTTCCCATAGTTATCACCCTAGTTTAGAGCTTCTCACTTTATTTGACACATCTGTGCCACGTAATAAGTAATGAATGAATCACTCTGAGTTAGTTTTTCCCCCACTAAGCCATTCATCCACCCTTTAAAAAAAGCTAGCTTCTTAAACACACTTCTCATTACGTCATTTTCCTGCTCAGCATCCTTCAGTGGCTCCCTATTGCCTTTTCTCCAGTGGCTTCCTATCTCATAGTTAAACCAGTGACAATGAAAATGGCCGATAAGGCCTCACATGATGAAGCCTCTTGCGTACCTACTTTGCTTCTTACTCATGTTTAATAACCACACTGGCCTTGTGTTGTTTTAGGCATTCTCTTGTCTCAGGGTGTTTGGACTCTCTGTTCTCCCTGCCTGGAACACTTCCTCTAGATATTTTTATAGCTAGCTCCATGACCTTGGATAGGTCTTTACCTCCTGAGTGAGGCATTACCTCTCAGCTTCATTTAAAATTTAAAATTACCCCCTTTCCTGTTTTTTATTCAGTTTGTTTATTGATGTCTTCACTAATCAGACTATAAATTCCATAGGATGGAGATATTTTTATGTCGTTGTAGCTTCAATATTAACAATTGCCTAGCACATATGTAGGCACCTAACTCTTCTTTTGTAATGGTGCAAATATTATCCGTATACTATGTGGCTTGCATTGCCAACCTACCTTTAAAATGGTATGTCTTATCAAAATTTCCCTTATGCTAATGCTTCTGAAGCTATGTTTAAAGAAAGCCTTTCCTACTTCTGGGTTCTCAGCAAATATCTATTGAAATAAATGAATTGAATAAATTATAGGTCCTTACAAATTCTTATTCAAATCAAAATGACCCACTAGATCAGTACTTTAGAAAAACATATTTTGCATAGGAATCACCTGTATATCTTTTCTGCAATATAAAGAGAAATTGCCATAAATATTATAAATATATAGTAAAATAGAGAAAACATTCTGATTTAGCCTTGGGAGAGGATCTGATATTCTGCATTTCTAACAAGTTCCTAGGTAGGACTGATAGGGTTGATTCATAGATCACAGTTTAGATAATAAGGCAATATGATGCTGCGTGGGTTTGGGTGTCACACCAGCCATGACTGTTAATTCATGCTGCAACACTTCATTATATGAAGCTTGATGTATTGATTTATGAGGCTATAGTTTAGAATTCTCATTACAATATCATACCCCTTTCATTATAAGGACCCACAAAGGAATTTGTCTCAGGAGGTGGAAACAAATAGTTGTGTTCTTTTTACAATTGATAGAATCAGTTAGTCTTTGAAATATGTCTTGTGGCTGATTGTACTTCTCACTTTCTTATACTAGAAAGCATCAGACCAGAATTATGGATTACATGCTCTAGAATACAATACTGTCTATATTTTCATACATCAATACTTCCTCTGGGCTTATCTAATTTGTTACATTCTTAGGTTGTTCATTTAAGTTTTTGAAGTTTCCATTTGTGTTCATATAATTGATAAATGTTTAAAACGTGCTTGCTCTCTCTCTCTCTCTACACATACACACAGAGAGAGAGATAGAGAGATACTGAATCACTCAATGTACTTAACATATTTCCAGTGAATTCAACCGTCTTGAAAATACTTAAAGAAAGGGGATTTGAAGTGTGTAAGACACATAGTCTTATACAATGGGTTAGTGAAGTCCCAAGAAATTGTGTCATAAATATTTGCTGTCAGTCTGTTTTGCCTTTTACTGGTTGGTGGAGATATAGGGAGGATGGTAGAGGGATTAAGGGAAATCTAGGGTGTTAATGAAAGTAACTCTGTCACTCAATGATTTTGTACAAATAGCTTCAAAACTCTGAGCCTAAACTTCCACTTTTGTAATTGGATTAATAAGAATTCTTTTTTAAAAATCAAATAAACAGAGCCCTACAAAACAATTCTTCATTGAACTTTTCTTCATTCATTAAGCGAGTATTAATTAGATTTTTCTGCTATACCAAGCACCATACTAGATGCTGAGATTTAACAGTGAGAAGAGCAAAAAAACGAACTGATTGTAAGAAATGATCTGAAGGCAGTAAACAGGAACTAAGGTGGGGAATGGGACAGGTGAGAGAAGGCAGAGCTACTGTTTGGGAGCCTATGGTAGAAAGGCTCCTTTGTGAAGGCATGTTATGTCTCACAACTGGAGCATGAGAATTAAGAGGCTGCCCTAGCAGCAGCCATTCTGGCATAGGGGCCCACAAGGACCAAACCATTCAGGCTTAGAGGTCTCTAATAAATGAATAGGAGATAAGAAAGCTCAAAGGCAAGGAAGGTTCCCAGTTAGGAGTAAATTAAAATCAGATCCCTTGGTGCCAAAGAAGTCAAAGTTATGTGACTGAATTTGTTGTGTGTTTTTACAAGAGTATATTGATCTTTTGAAAAAACGTTCCTGATTTTCTGACTATTGAGTAGATTGTCAATATTAAGAATGATAAGGGAATAGGTGATGTGGGAGGTGATGTATGCTGTGAATATCTTTTATTGCCATTGGTTAATAAAGAAGTTGCTTTCGGGCAATGGCTTAACAGAGAAAAGCCATGCTGAAAGACATATATAGAGAGAGTAGGAGGAGTCAGTGAGAAGCCATGTAGCTACCTGCAGAGACAGACACACCGAGTCTTGCCGGTAAGCCACAGTCACATTATGATACACAGATTAATAGAAATGGGTTAATTTAAGATATATGACTTAGCCAGAAATACATTTAAGCTATTGGTCAAACAATATTGCAAATAATATAGTTTCTAAGTGATTATTTTGTGTTCTGGGAAGCCAGGAATAAACAAGCGACCTTCCCCAACAGATAGGGATGCAGTTCTTGGTGGAAGTGTGTTTGATTAGGTTGTGAGAAGCCCTGAGTTTGATCTCTAGCGTGCATACACACACAACACCTGCAAAAAGTGTTTATGTGGCTCTTTTAAAATCCTCTTTGCACCAACGCCTCCTTTGTCAGTCTGATGAACTTTCAGGACTTCGCAGGATAACATCTACGAATGTATAAATTAAAACTTAGATTTACAAAAAGAAACCC